GATTATGAAAGTATTATAAGCATGTAAAAACAATTTTTCTCATCTCTCACTTGAGTGGTCATTAGATTGAGCCAACTAATTTTAAATTGCCATAGCAATATTTAAGAATTTAAAGCTGAACTTATGAAGTAATTAATTCATTAATTTCTTCAGTCAATCATCTGAGTAATAAATCACGAGAGCCTAGAGACATGAGATACTTAGGCAAACCATTTCAAGCATTAGAAACAGAAACGCTAACAAGCAAACAATACACTTGAAAAAAATTTTAAAGAACTCTCCTAGCACCTGCAAGACTGGTTGAAGGCTTAAGCCTGATACAGCTCTGCTTTAAATGCTATTGATCACTCTTCCTAGAATAGAGAGCATGCTGCATGATAAATCTTTCGTAGCTCATGAACGTATTTTATGCATTATTTTCCCACATCCTCCCAAATCTCACTCTTTGAAGTAGGCACAACCATCCCAACTTAACATATGAATTAATGCCAATCAGGAATCTGCTAGTCTCTTCCCAAGACCAGTATTTTCTAAAGATCACACCACAATATTTTATTAATAGCAAACAACCACAATTTTACAAATGTAATTATTATAAATTTTGTCAGTGATGATGCCTTAATTTCACAGCAATATTCCTCTTGCTAGTGTTTCTTTTTGTAAATAATCTCATTATTAGAAAAAGGGGGGGCTAAGAATATAAGTCAATGGTAGAGCACTTGCCTAGCATATATGAGGATCTGGTTTTGATATTCTCTCAATAAATAAACATAAAGAAGAGAGTTTGCTAGTGTCCTTGAGTGCCATCTGCTTTTTTAATTTAATTTAATTTTTTTGTCAGTCATGGGACTTGAACTCTAAGCTTGGGCACTGTCCCTGAGCTCTCCAGATCAAGGCTAGCACTCTACCCCTTGAGCCACAGCACCACTTCCAGTTTTCTGGTGATTAGAGAAAAGAGTCTCACAGACTTTCCTGCTCAGGCTGACTTTGAACTGTGATCCCCAGATCTCAGGTTTCTGGGTAGCAAGGATTACAGGTGTGAGCCACCAGGGTCCGGCTCATGTACTACTATTGTTCAACACCTTCAGCATTTCCTGAATATTAAATGTTGAATAAGATTAATTTTCATTTTAGTTGAAATAAGACATATTTAAGCAATACATGGAAAAATAACAAATGCATTTCACAATGATTTGTGGTAATCCATTCTGGATTACCAAGTATAATCAAGAATTTATTGTGGTAAATTATAGCCATGATACTTCTCCACAAGTATTTGTGTATTCATAATAACTACCAATATATTTTCTTACTTATATATATGTTTTAATTTGTCATAAAGTTATTGGGACTATCCTATATCAAGACTGGGATAAAAATGAACACTAATAGGCATTCCTTGTGGCGAAGTGTTTGCATGTTCATGAGCTTGGATTCAGTCCTCTGTAATTAAAAAAAAAAACCTTTAGAAATTCTAGGTCCCATGGTTTCCCTTATTTGCTTGTCTGAGACAAGCAGAAATGGTCAGATAAGTTGATGTTAGGCGAAATGAACCCCAAGATAAGGACTCAAATGTTTTTTTTCTTTTTATGATTGTTTCTAACATATTTATAAGATGATTTCTTTGTTGCTTTGTATGTCCCTCCCCCATGGTATAACCCCTGCTTTCACTGTATTTGATGTTGGTATAATTTGTGGAGGGGAAGAGAAAAAACAAATCATTTAAATAGGGAGATGTACAAGTCGTTATGTCGAAAACGAACTTTACAACTTTGGTCTGGTGGGGGGGACTGTGGAGGGAGATGGGAAGGGATGGGAAGAGGAAACAAAGGAGAGGCAATAATGCTTGATAAGAAATGTACTCATTACCTTGCGCATATAATTGTAACAACTCTATATGGTATTTTCAGAATAAAAAATACAAAATAAAATAAAAAGAAATTCTATTATATTCATTACATCTTATACAAACCTTTATTAGATTTATAGTAAAGTACATATATATTCCCTTGCTAGGATGAATAAACAGATCTAGAAGGCTCTGTGCAAGTCATGGTCTATACATAGTGTCAGTACTGTGCTTTAGAGTTGCTATATCAGCAGAAAAGCAATTCGTTAAAGTTTTAGGATAATCATATGCTACGCTTGATCATGGATGAAATGAACTTGATTTTCCAAGAATGTAAAGGTACCAAGAAGAAAGAAATTGCCGTGTGCTAGGAGAGATTCTCAGGACTGATGCTTTCTCAGTCTTTTTTCAGAACAGAAAAGCACCCTTTAAGACCAGGCAATTGCTACCAAGCAGAAGCCTGAGAAGCCATGGAGCTCATGTGTTCTTTGGCAACTTTTATCCTAGGATGTAGCTACAGATGGACTTGAATCAGTAACTACAGAGAAGCTAAAAGACACCTGCAAAAGAAATACACACACACACACACACACACACACACACACACACACACAGAATTTACTCTTAGCATGAATAGCTCCATAACATTACATCTGATGTCTTTGTTTCCTATCCAAAACAGAGCTAAATAATTATTTCTAAGAGTAAATTCTGTGTGTGTGTGTGTGTGTGTGTGTGTGTGTGTGTGTGTGTGTGTGTGTGTGTGTGTGTAGAGTTATAGAGAATGAACTCAGGGCCTGGGCATTGTCCCAAGCTTTTTTTATTCAAGGCTAGTGCCATTTCACTTGAGCCACAGCTTTTCTTCCAGATTTTTGATGGCTAAGTAAAGATAAGAGTCCAACAGACTTTCCTTTGCAAGTTAACTTCAAATCATGATCCTCATATTTCAGTCTTACGCTCCTGCGTAACTAGGAAATTAGGCATTATTTGCCAGTATATCACAAAGAATAAACTTTTGAAGCTATATTTTCTCACTGTGGTGGATCAAGCCTCACATTTTTCCATTGCTCCACAATTATTTTCTTAATTATTATTTCAAATTGTGTGATGACATTCAAAATAAATCAAAACACTATGCTGCAGACATTTTCATGAAAAGTAGAATATAATTAAACATATAATTGATCAATTCAAAATATTTGCAAATTTTTACTAACAATTATAATTTATTCTAATAGCAAACATTTCCCCCATAATGTGGAACTTAACCTATTGGTTAGAATAAAGTTCTTGTTTTTGACTCTGAGCAGATAATTACAGCTATCAGTGATTTATAGACCATATTTTATTCCCTTTAGAAATAAAATGCAAGGTATGTAAATATTTACTTTCTAATATCAAAATTAGCATGGGATAAATATGACTTGCAAGTTTTCTATTTTTTTCTTCTAATGTTGGCATAGTTAGCTCATTTTTTCTCTGACTTCATATCTAATAAGCTTTTTTATGATATCAGATATAAATGACATAATGACAGACCATACAGTTCATAAATTTCTGATAAATAAGGCCATATTTTTTAATTATCATTAAGATACAAACTTCTTTTTCAAAGGTAGCATGAAAGAAATCATTTTCATATTTTTAAATCATAAAGCATCCTCAGAAAATGCATGACCAGGGGCTGGGAAGGTGGCTCAGTGGTAGAGCGCTTGCTTTGCATGCCTGGGGCTCTGAGTTCAATTCCTCAGCACCACATAAGCAAAAAGAAAAAAGCCGGAAGTGGCACTGTGCTCAAGTGGTAGAGTGCTAGCCTTGAGCTGAAGAGCTGAAGGACAGCACCCAGGCCCAGAGTTCAGGCCCCACCACCGAACCCCCCCCCCAAAAAAAAGAAAATGCATGTTGGTTGGCACAGTCTCTAGCCTTGTTGGACTGGAAAGCATTCTAAGCAGCAGTAGTTTTCAGGTAAACCACAGAAGCAATCAGGATGGCAATGTTATAGATTGAATTTCACTCTCAAATAAGTGACTCAGCTATTAACTTTAAAATTTACTTCCATCCTGAGAATTTCTGCCTTTACATTTATGAAGAAAATTGCAGAATTAATGGAAGAATCTTTTGGCCTAATTGTATCTGAATTTAAAAGAGCAGTTTATACAAATACAAATTAACTATCCGTTATCCAGAATAGACAAGTATTTTCAATTTTTTGAATTTCTTTCAATTTTGGAATATTTGCATATATATGAAATATCATAGGGATGGGATCCAAGTCTGAACCCAAAGTTAATTGCAATTCTTTATGCATGAAGTCTGGGCAAAGTTTTTTTTTTAATTTTTTACAGTATTCTAAGCGTGTTGCACTTTGTGAGTTTAGGTATGGCAGTTCTCATGTTGCATCATTTTGACAAAATCAAAATGCTTGGATTTAGGAACATTTTAGATTTTCAGATTACAGAGGTTCAACCTGTACGAGTTCTTTCCAACACCCTATCAAAATGCTATTACAAATTACTGGATGGCAACTTTATAATACAAAAGCAGTAATCTTTTAAATTTTCTTCAGCACCAGCACTCTGATGGACATTTCCTTACAAGGACAGAGAAAATGAGCAAAGCAACTGATTCAAGGATAAAAGATTTCAAATTTTAAGAGATAATTAATTTATTTGTTTTTCCTTTCACCCACAGGTCTACCCACGGATAGCACCTGCATTTTGGCGCTACCTGCGGGTAGAAGTGAGTAGCGGGTACTTGACCTAACCTCTCCACCCCCTTGGCCTCTGGCACCTGCTGGTGTGGGCTGATCTACTGTGTCCATTTTGCTTGAGACAAAAGCTATGATTCTGTATAAATGTGCTTTCACGCCACCATCATTCCGTAGAGTAGGATAAGTAATCGAAATCGCCCACAGTTCAAGGGGAGTTTGTTGAGAGTAATCATCTTCCTGAGTAGTTTCCAAATCAGGGCCACATCATCTGCATTGCTGCAAGGCTGAGAAGTTCAGTGCTAAGTTACATAATAAAAAGGCGTTTAGACTACATCTTAATCAATACGTTTGCGACTTAGATCTTAATTCGTCCTGGAAATTCTCTAGGGACTGTGTAGGGTCACCTGGCTTCATTCCCTTCTCCTCTGTTCTGTTCCCTAGGAGCATGAGCAGCTCACCTACTCCTCCACGCGGTCCAAGGCCCCCAGCGTCATCATCACAGGTCTCAAGCCGGCCACCAGATACGTATTTCATATCCGAGTAAGGACGGCAACAGGATACAGTGGCTACAGTCAGAAGTTTGAATTTGAAACAGGAGATGAAAGTAAGTTTCACACAAGGTACAAAGTAAGACGCTAATTTAGGACTCTTCTAGTTGGCCTGGTAGTTTAAAAACCAGGAGTAAGGGCTGGGAAGGTGGCTCAGTAGTAGAGCGCTTGCCTTGCATGCCTGAGGCCCTGGGTTCGATGCCACAGCACCACATAAGCAACAAGAAAAAAGCCAGAAGTGGTGCCGTGGCTCAAGTGGTAGAGCGCTAGCCTTGAGTTGAAGAGCTGAGGGACAGCACCCAGGTCCAGAGTTCAAGCCTCACGACCAGACCACCCCCCCAAAAAAAAACCCAAGAGTATCAAATTTTTCTTAACCTCTCCAAATGAGCTTTTTTATTCATGTAAATCCCCATAGTCATCTGGAGAAGCATTTTGGTATTGTTGTTAAATACTTCCACGATATGTTTTCCTCTCCCATATTGTAATTTGGTGCAAATATGTCCCCTTATGAAGAATTTGTCACTCCAGATGTTACACAGTCGCAGTGCATTGTTTTTATGCTAGTGTTCTCCAGTCGTGGCATGTTAACATAATATAATCTAATCGAAGCTTGTAACAAATTAGTAATTTGTTCAATGCACACAGGATTAGCTTGTTATTTCAGGTCAACAGAGTAATCAAGAGACACCGGTATATATTACAGATGTATATGGATAGGTAGGTAGGTAGGTAGGTAGGTAGACAGATACTTTATTATTTATTTCTCTCTATATCATAAATTTCTATCATATAGATTTCTGCCATATATATTTTTATCATGTTTGACCATATATTTGATAGATAGATAGACAATAAAGACAGAGAGATTAGAGAGATATACAGATATGCGTGGTCACAGTTCTCTCCTTTTGTGTTTTGATAAAGACTTCTTGTGTGTGTGTGTGTGTGTGTGTGTGTGTGTGTGTGTGTGTGTGCTCTCATCTTTCACTGTAATATAGTATTTCAGTATTAGAACTACAAATATTTATTGATTTCCAATTGCTATCTAGCCTTTTATTGCATGGTGTACTTGATCTTTGCCTCATTTTTAGGAAAAAAATTAACAAATTTACACTAATCAAAAGAAATAAAAGCAAAACTTTAAGAGTAAACAAACAGCCCAGGTGTATTTTCTTGAAAGTTACAAAGAAGTTAGATGTTATGAACTAATGAGAATTTATTTTCAAAATGCGTTGGCATATGCCTGTAATCTCTGAACTCATAAAGCTAAGGAGCAAAAAGACTCTGAGTTCAAGTCAGAGCAATAAAAAGAAAAAGTTCTCAAATTAAAAATTTATTTTTAATGTGCAAAGTGGTCACCATAAACAATATTCATATTCTGGCCAACTACAGTCTATTGTGGATCATGTAGATGAAATAATAAGATTCTTTTTTTAGTTTACATTAGTCATATGGGGGAAAGTTTATTGTTAAATCCCCACACATTTACAAGTATTCCAATCAATCTTACCACTTCTACCACTCTCCCTTTCTTCTTTCCCCCATCCCACAACAGGATTTGAACAAGATTTGAACAGGATTTTCAACAGGATTTGGAAAGGATTTGAACAGGATTCATTGAACAGTATTCATTATTCTGTTGTCATCATTGCAAACAATCTATTTCAAGCGTATTCGACCTCTTTCCTCCTCACTGTTATCCCAGTACTCTCTCACTAGTACCCACCACTGACAGGGACTATTTCTCTTAACAAGATATTTTAATTGTCTCAAGTTTATTATTTTGTGTTCATTTTCTGGAATCGTCAATGGAGAAAAAGAGAATTAAAATGTCCCACTTCCCTAATATTATTACCCATACCCTATAAACTGCTTGAAAAGTAGATGTGATGTATTTTAAAATAATTAAAACTAGATCTATAAATTTAAGATGAACTAAAATTATATAAAGTTCATGAAATCAAACATTTTTCATTTTAAAATGCTATCAATATGTATCTAATATTTAAATGTATCTTAGGGAAACAGAAATTAATTTTACAAGTGCAAGTTTTTGTCAAAATAAATTGTTAGACTCTTGATATCCTGAATCTTTCATTAAATACTACAATATAGCCTGTGAGCTGTCAAAAAAGAGCAGAATTCATTGCTTTAAGCCAACTTTAAAGAAAATTGGATTTTTATCTGTAGTAATTAGAAAGTTACCTCCTTCATTGCCCTAATGGATATCCAAATGATCCAGGAGAATTAATATACTGCCAACATATAAGCAAAGACTGCTTTTCTCCCCCACAAGGATTAATTATAGCTTAAAATTTAACAACATATAATTTTGGTTTTCATCAGTTTTGTAACACAAATGCCACATCTGCTAGCAAGTATTTTAGCATATATTGTTTTTACCTAACTTGACAGTGCATGAATTTTATGTCACATAATATAATCATACAAAAATCATCATCATCAACCTTAATAAACTAAGCCACAAAGTGCTCGATCACCGTAGGGTTTTCAAAATAAAAACCTATATCAGGGGCTAGAGGAATGTGTTAGGAGCAGAACCCTCTTCACAAGCACGAGACTGAATTCAAATCCTAGTATTGCCAAAAATTAAAACAAAATAAAAGGTTGAAGAAATGGCTGAGAAGACATAACTTTAAGGAAAATAATCTTATTATGTCTTATACATATGCAGATACATATGAATAAATTTAGTCAACTATTTCAAAATATCCACTAGATTTAGCTATTGTAATGTGGTCTAATATTTAAATAATTGATTCATTTAAAAAATTTATAGGTAGGAAATGATCCTGAAAATTAAGGTGCAAAATTGTCTCCCATTTCTTCTTCCCTAATGCATTCCTCACACTCACATTTAACTATCTCTTTTATGCTCCATTTTATATTCTCTAAAACCCTTGGTCATTTGGGGTTTTATTTTTAATTGAATCAAAACGTGAATTTCTCAGTATAGATTTACCTTCTTCCTAATCAAAACTGAATCCACATTTTTACTCTAGGAAAATGAGATTATTTGGCTACAGAAACAAAAGTTTCTGTATTTTGCCACATATCTTGAGTTCATTCAGTACCTCCACCTAGCATAGTCAGAAAACCATCAACGTGACAGATCATCAGTGTACCCAACACACTTCTTGATGTGCTGTTGCTCAGCCCAGCTAGAAATCATCACTTTTTATTTGTGCAGAGGTTAAATTTTGTACTATTGTAAACTCTTAGAGGTCAAGAGATTTATATTCTATATATCTTTGTGTCTCCTGTTGAAACTTCAGATAGTTTTCAGTGCAACTAATCAAATAAGTTAAAAAAAGAAAGCTAAAATGGTAAAGAATATTGTGGTGTTTACCACACCAAAAAGATAATTTTACTTGCCACAAATAATAGTGCTTGCTTTATTTTGAATAATAAGCTAATCTATCTTAGAAACATGTAGAAGCACAATATATTCTATTTAACTTATCTGCTAGAATTTTATTTTGTGGTGAACAAAATGAAAATTGTTAACAAAAAATTTCCTTCTGAAATGCCTTTTGTTAAAAGGTACTCTGTTATATTTTATTTATATTATCTTCTATTTCATCCAGTCTAGTAGAGGAAACATAACATGTCCTGCTTCAATGACTGAGGATGAAATTAGCTACATGGTTATAACAGAAGCCAGAAATTTGGGTATGATTATTAATGGTGGGGTATGAAGCAGAAAGAAGACTAGCTGACCTTAGTAAAGCACTAAAAAAATTCATTAATCAAGTAGGCGGTACATTTCATATTTATGAGTCTTCTCAGAGGAGGACAAATTCCAGTGTATAAGGCTGTAATTTGGAATAATCTCAAATCAATAGCATACTTTCAAGGTTGGTGGTTATAACTCTTAAATGCAAACATCATTAGAAAGGAAGAATTCCATAGCACAGGGTTGTCAGAATGTATAGCAGCCTGCTTCATGAAGTAATAAAGAACTTGTCTGGAAGGTAACAGGAGCACTTATTTAGTTGGTCAGAAAGGAAATCCCTGTTTTATTTAGGAGGTGGCATTAGAAACTTAAGGGGGAGGAAGGAAAGTGGGAGAAAAATGAAGGAGGGTATAACAAGTTTTATAAGAAATGTACTCAGTACATTACATATATAACTGTGACCCCTCTGACGATCACCTTGACAATAAAATTAAATTTAAAAAAGAAACTTATGTAGTATCTACTATTTGGACTCCAAAACAGCATCATATTTGTTGAGTCCTAATATTGTTCCAAATGTTATTCTTGGCTTTCTGGCTTCTTACACATTAATAAGCTTTGGAGTAGATGCTATTATTATGCCTGTTTTATGGATCCAAAATCTAAAGCAGCAAGAAGTGCAGTTAATTCATTTTTCCATGGTCAGTAAGGGTAGGGCACAGTATTAGGCCCTTTCACAACAATGCCCACAATCAGAACTGAGCTTCCCTCTCTACTTATTTGGTCTTTCTTTTTCACCAGGATCATCCATTCCCAGTTTCTAAATAACTAGTTTTTTTTATTCTTACCTCCAATTATTCACCTCCCTTAATAAAATTCTTCCTTAGCAGCATTTGGTTTTTTTTAACTATAAACACAGATATTCAGAAGATTATATTATTTACAGATTGTTATGCATTAATTTCTGAGAGCTATAGAGTGTTTAAATTCAGATATGTATATGAGTAGCTTGCATGGTAGAGTAAGCATAATTCCCTCAAAGGGACAAAATAATGTAGTTAGTATGATGTTGATATATACAAGCTCTTGATGTGGTGTAACTATGTATATAGAAAACATGTCTTCCCTTTATGGAGGATTACAATCGGAAAAGATGTTTTGTTTTAATTTTGGCCAAATCAGAGAATTATTTTAAATTACCAGCCCAAGGCTTGTGTACCATGAACATCTTAAGGTAAAAAAAAATGTTAAAGCTCATAACTTGCTAAATGGGCTGGAAAAATATCATTAACTATTAGCAGGTACTTACAAGTTGTAAAACATATATTTCAAAGAGTAAAATACATTGTGGCTCATATT